TCATGGAAATTGAACAAGGTGCAATTGCACCATTCTTGGGTAAGGGAAGAAATAAAAAAAGAAATTAAAGACTTCAATGAAAATGAAGGCACAACATACACAAACCTAAGGGACACTCTGAAAGCAGTTCTAAGAGGAAAGTTTATAGCACTAAGTGCCCACATGAAGAAACTAGAGAATATCCACACTAGAGAATTAACAGAACAACTGAGAGCTTTAGAACAAAAAGAAGCAAACACCCAAGAGGAGTAGACACCAGGAAATAATAAAATTGAGACCTGAAATCAATAAAGTGGAAACAAAGAAATCAATGCAAAGAATCAATGAAACAAAGAGTTGGTTCTTCCAGAAAATCAGTAAGATAGACAAACCTTTATCCAACCTAACTGAAAGGTAGAGAGAGAACACGCAAATTAACAAAATCAGAAATGAAATGGGGGACATAACAACAGATACCAGGCAAATCCAGAGAATCATGAGGTCTTACTTTGAAAACCTGTACTCCACAAAATTAAAAAGTTTAAAGGAAATGGATGATTTTTCTGGATTCTCACTTATGAGAATTAAATCAAGATCAGATACCCAATTTAAATAAACCTGTAACCCTGAAGAAAATAGAAACGGTCATCAAAAGTCTCCCAGCTAAAAAAGTCCAGGGCCAGATGGATTAAGTGCAGAATTCTACCAGAAATTCAAAGAAGAGTTAATACCAATACTCTTCAAATTGTTCTATAAAATGGAAGCAGAAGGATCATTGCCAAACTCTTTTTATGAGGCTACCATTACCTTGGTACCCAAACCACACAAAGACACAACTAAGAAAGGGAATTATAGACCAGTCTCCCTCATGAACATTGATGAAAAAATACGCATAAAATACAGGCAAATCAAATCCAAGAACGCATCTGAAAAATCATCCACCATGATCAAGTAGGTTTCATCCCAGGGATGCAGGAATGGTTCAACATATGAAACTCTATCAATGTAATCCACCATATAAACAATCTGAAAGGAAAAGCAAACACATGATCATCTCACTAGATGCTGAAAAACTCTTTGACAAATTCAACACCACTTCATGATAAAGGTCTTGGAGAGATCAGGCAGGGATAACAGGAACATACCTAAACATAATAAAGGCAATATACTGCAAACTGACAGTCAACATCAAGCTAAATGGAGAGAAACTCAACACAATTCCTCTAAAATCAGGAACAAGACAAGGTTTTTCACTCTCTCCATATCTCTTCAATATAGTATTTGAAGTTCTTGCTAGAGCAATAAGACAACAAAAGGATACAAATTGGAAAGGAAGAAATAAAACTTTCACTATTTGCAGAAAATATGATAGTATACATATGTGACGTGAAGAATTATACCAGGGAACTCCTACAGCTGATAAACACCTTCAGCAAAGTGGCAGGATACAAGAGTAACTAAAAAAAAATCAGTAGTCCTACTATATATATATATATATATATATATCACCCTTTACAATAACCACTAACAACATAAAATATCTTGGGGTTACTCTTACCAAACAGGTGAAAGACCTGTATGACAAGAACTTTGAGTCATTAAAGAAAGAATTTAAAGAAGATACCAGAAAATGGAAAAATCTCTCATGCTCTTGGATAGGTAGGATCAACAAAGAAAAATGATAATCTTACCAAAAGCAATCTACAGATTCAATGCAATCCCTATCAAAATCCCAGCACAATTCTTTGCAGTTCTTGAAAGGCCAATTTTCAATTTTATATGAAAAAACAACAACACCCAGGATAGCCAAAAAAAATGTACAATAAAAGAACTTCAGGAGGCATCACCATCTCTGACTTCAAGCTCTAAAGTAATAAAAACATCTTGGTATTGACACAAAAATAGAGAGGTAGACCAATGGAATCAAACTGAAGACCCAATATAAACACACACACCTATGAACACCTGATCTTTGACAAAGAAGTTAAAACTATACAATGGAAAAAAGAAAGCATCTTCAACAAATGGTGTGGGCATAACTGGATGCTGGCACGTAGAAAACTCTGGATAGATCTATATCTATCACCATGCACAAAACTTAAGTCCAAATGGATCAAAGTTCTCAACATAAACCCAAGCACACTGAACCTCTTAGAAGAGAAATTGGGAAGTACCATTGAACGAATTGGTACAGGAGACCACTTCCTGAACACCAGTAGCACAGACACTGAGATCAACAATTAATACATGGGACCTCCTGAAGCTTCTGTAAGGCAAAAGACACAGTCAACAAGACAAAACAGCAGCCCACAGAATGGGAAGAGATATTCACAAACCCCACATCTGACAGAGGGCTGATTTCCAAAATTTAAAAAGAACTAAAGAAGTTAGTCACCAAAACACCAAATAATTCAATTAAAAAGTGGGATACAGAACAAAACAGAGAATTCTCAATAGAGGAATCTAAGATGGTTGAAAGACACATAAAAAAAAGTGCTCAACATCCTTAGCCATCAGGGAAAGTCAAATCAAAACACCTCTGAGATACCATCTTGCTTCTGTCACAATGGCTAAAATAAAAAACTCCAATGATAGTTTATGCTTGAGAGGATGTGGACAAAGGGGAACACTCCTCCACGTCTGATGTGAATGCCAACTCATACAGCAACTTTGGAAATCAGTATGGTGATTCCTCAGGAAAATGGAAATCAGTCTACCACAAGATCCAGCAATTCCACCCTTAGACATATACCCAAAAGATGCACATTCATACAGCAAGGACATCTGTTCAACTATGTTCATAGCAGCATTATTTGTAGTAGCCAGAAACTGTAAGTAACCTAGATGCCCCTCAACTGAAGAATGGATGGAGAAAATGTAGTACATTACACAATGGAGCACTACTCAGTGGAAAAAAGCACTGGAATCTTGAAATTTGCAGGCAAATGGATGGCACTAGAAGAAACTATCCTTAGTGAGGTAACCCAGTCACAAAAAGACAAACATGGCATGTACTCACTCATTTATGTATTTTAGACATGGAGCATGGGATTGCCAACCTACAGTCCTACCACCAGAGAGTCTGGGTAACAGTGAGGACACTAAGAGAGACTTGCATGGCACCCCAATGAAGGGGAAGGAGACAGCATCTCCTGAGCAAATTGGGGCATGTGTGAAGCAGAGAGGGAGTTGGGGGAAGAGAGGGGTAGAAGAGGGAAAGGAGGACATGGGGGAGTAGGATGTTTGAATTGGGGGAAGAATAGAGGAGACCCTGATGGGAGATATCATGATAGAGAGAGTCATTATAGGTTTGAGGAGAGATCTGGCACTAGGGAGATTCCCGAGATCTACAAGGATGATACCAACTGGCAACCTATGCAATAGTGGAAAGGCTACCTTAAATGCCCCTCCCTGATAATGAGATTGACTACCTTATATACCATCCTAGAGCCTTCATCCAGTGACTGATGGCAGCAGAAACAGATACCCACAGCTAAACACTGAACTGAACTCCTGGAAACCAGTTGTAGAGACGGAGGAGTGATAAGCAAAGGGGTCAAGACTGGGCTGCTGAAACTCACAGAAACAGCTGACCTGAACAAGGGGGAGCTCATCGACCCTGATGGCTGAGATGTTAGCATAGGACTGATTCAGACCCCCTGAATGTAGGTTTTAGTGAGGAGGCCTCGGCAATCTGTGGGTCCTCGGGTAGTAGTATTTATTCTTGGCATCCTAATGGACTTTGGAAGCCCATTCCATGTAGAGGAATGCTCTCTCAACCTGGATACATGTGGGTGGGCCTAGGCCTTGTCTGGATGATATGACAGGCTTTGGGGATCCCTCATGGAGGGCCTCATCCTCCCTGGTAAGCAGAGGGGGGATGAGGAGGTGAGTTGTGGGGGGTTGGTGGAGGGTGAAGAAGTAGGGGAGAAAGAGGAATCTGGGATTGACATGCAGCAGGCTTGTTTCTAATCTAAATAAAAATAAATAAAAAAAAAGGCAGGTCTTAGTGGAAAACATATGAAGTACTAGATGAGATTACACAGCTAAATCTTGTATGGGTCCAGTGTTGAACAGCCTTATCTATACCCCTATCATATAGTACATAATCTAAGAATTCTTAATCACCTAGTTGCATGACTGAACAGATGCTAATTCAGCATACATTAGAATCATTTGTGTGTAACACAAATAAAAAACCATAGATATTGGGGTTCAAGCTGAAGATCAGAAAAGTAAAGCAGCTGGCCACTAGATCTTACCTCAGCCTGAAAGGACTGTCTTGTTCCCAGTGTGGTTGGAGAATAAATCTTTGACACTGAATCCTGAATGTCCTGTAGCTATGTTTTATACCTCTCTAGAGCTGGGATTAAAGGTTTGTGATCCCAAGTGCTGAGATCTCCTTTGTGTGAACTTTTTGTCTTTTAGACTGATTCACTGAAATGTAACCCTGGGTGATCTTGAACTCACAGAGGCCCATTTGTCTTTGTCTCCTGAGTTCAGGAATTAAAGAAGTGTGCCACTACTTCCAAGTTTCTATGGCTAACTTGTGTGGCTGGTGGAATTAAAGGTGTGTATCACCATTGCCTGGCTCTAATCCCCCAAAATATTGTGACTAATTCTGTCAAACAAATTCTGGCAAATCCTATATTGAATGTGGTACAATTTATTTACACATGCTGCTGGTTGAAGGGTCTATTGGGGTTAGAGCGAACACAAGAACAGGAGGGAAGACCAGTCAGGTTCAGGGTAAAGGCACTGTAGAAGCTCTGTCAGAGGAGCAAATTTGGCCCTGGAGTTGTAGCAGTTTTCAAGACAATCAACGGGAGGGTTCCGTTGTTCTTGCTTTCTCAGAGTCCGGGCCAGAGTAATCCTGATGACTGGGACCTGTGGCGTTGGAGTGAACTTCTTCCCCTCTTTCTTTGGGCTACTGAGTCCAGAGCCACAGGAGCCAGCGCTGCTGGGCGAGCCCAACTCTTCCCGCCAAGGCCGGTGCCCGCCCCGCCCTCTGCGCACACTGCGCATGTGCGGCGGCCATTCCCGCGCGCCATGGCCGAGACAGACGCTAACCTGTTGCGCCACTTCCCGCTGCTGCTTCCTCAGAACCGGGAGAAAACTGTGTATGAGGGATTCATTTCGGCTCAGGTACCCTGCGGGGTCACTCTCTCGCGCCTGAGCCCGTCACTCGCGGCGCAGCCTAATCCGGGCCTCAGGGGCCGGCTCGGGCCAGCCCGGAGACCCAGCGCTCGGGCACAGCGCTTGCGCAGTCGCCGTGGGCGGTGCCAGCCGGCGCCGGCGGGAGGGCGGGGCGGCTCGCAGGTGGCTGGCTGGCCTGAGCTTGACAGTGAGGGCCGGCCAGTTTCCTTTGCTGAGCCCCTTCTTGACTTCTGTTACTGCACTCACGATTTTGGAATTAATTTACAGAGCACTCTGGGTCCAATATTAAGTAGAACTTAAAAAGACCCCCCCCCAAATCATCATTTGAAGTCAAATCCTGGGAAATTTAGAGAAGCCAGATACCTTTGCTGTGATGGCATCAGATAACCTAGAAACTCTGGCTATTTAAAACAAACAAACAAGCAAATCTCATTTCCCGCTTCTCCATGGTATAACAAATACGATAGCTTCAGATTTTGAGTATGGACTTTGCGGCTAAGTATTAAACTCAACTGTGTGTAACTTTCCCGGTAGTGGCAGGAGTCATTAGTTAGCATGTGTGTTGAGGTCTCCTAAAAGCAGAGTCTCTAGAATACTGAGCACATTATCAAGTTTGTTTCAGGGTGAAACTTTTCCTCTTTCCTAAGCATTACTGAAGTTAAGAAAATGTTGCGTGATTAGCGTCCACACAGGAAGCTTGGGCTTTTTACCGTGTTTTCAAAACCATGTGATTCAAAACCATGTGAACAACAACAACAACAAAAAAGACGTTATATTTTGTTACAGTAGAAGGAAAAGGTATTAGCCACCTTTTCTTGCTTAATTGTTGAAATATCTGGCTAAACTGTCACTCTCACAGAGACGTTCATATAAGTTCAAGGTTTGTTATGTATGAGGTGTTGGAGGCAAGGGCTGGGCAGGATAGAGCAAGTGTTGTACATCACTTTTGTAACTGCAGTAGCACTTTAGGAAACAGCTACAGCCATCAGAATCCACTGGAAATAGGTAATTTCTAATTTTTATATTCCTTTAAGTCTTGAATACTGCCTAAAAACTATCCAGCACAGCTGGCTTTATCAACAGTGTCATTGTGGCTGGTCCTGTACACACATTTTCCTTACCTTTTGAGATTAAATCATAGACATAGTTCTTTATCTTTATCTCCAAATAATTTAGCATTCATTTCATAAAAACAAGGGTCCACTCAATCTAACTTCAGTACAGTTTCTAAAACTGCTATCTGGTGTAAATTTCATAGGTGAATTTAATTATCTCTTTATTTTGGAGAAGTTTTAAGTCTGTTTTTACTAACTTGAATTTTTATTTTTAAGCCTTCAGTTTATTAGGTTTGATAGTTTTTCAGCATTAAATTCTGGTAACACATTTCGGTTGGGTTGCCTCACAAAGAGTGCTGTGTTCCCCTCAAGGCACAGAAAGTCACCTACTCCCACTGTTGATAGCCTTAGCATCCATTACCAGACCAGAGTGACTTCTGCCAGATATTCTTTTGTAATTAATAAGTACTTTTTGGTGAGGTTCTTTGGGCCATTACACATTCACATACATACATACCATAGCGTTTCAATCCTTGACTCTTGGCTGCAGTCAGCCAATAATAGTGACTGTTGCCAAATGATTATTTCCCACCATCCTCATGCCATTTCCATCACTCTCTTGCCTTCTCTGTCACTCCCATGTGTTTCCTAACACACTCATGCCTTTTCCGCCATTCCCATGCCTTTTCCATCTATGAATTGGCACTTTGCTATAAGGAATAGTTCTCTCATCTTACTTCTTTTTGACTGGCTGTGTGTTTGTGACTGTTACATCCTTTATTTTGTTTGCGCTGTCCCAAATTAGCCAGTGACAGCACATTTTCTAAGTTTCTAAGGTGTTGCCTTTGGTATTACATTTTCCTCATCTTATTGTTTTAAGTCTCTTGTAGATGCTTATAGTGTTTCATCACTGTCTTCTGGAGCTTGTATAATTTCTACTTGTTCTGACTTCAGGTATAGTTAAATGGAAGTATTTCTAAATTTTCTACTTTCTTTGTTACAACTTTTAGTTTTGGTGCACCACAAGTAGCATTGTGTATAAAATTCTCACTTGTGGAAGTTATGGATACATTTTGGGGGCCTTAAGAATCAGTTTTTATGTGAATGAATTATTTGTGAATAGATAAAAGGTGTGTTCTCTATTCCTAGGCTCTTTCCTCTTGAATGAGCTTTGGTAGTTTGTGTTAGTTAAGGAATTAATTTCATCTGGGTTTCTGAATTTATGGGCTTATATTATTTATGATATTCCCCCTCTTAGTCTGTTCTCTCTTTCTATCTGTTTTTTCTTTCTCTCTGTCTGTTTTCCCTCCCCTCTCCCTCCCCCCTCCCCTCTCTGTGTGTGTGTGTGTGTGTGTGTGTGTGTGTGTGTGTGTGTATGTGTGTAGGAGGTCAGAGGTTTACTTTGGATGTTTTCTTCGATAGCTCTTCACATTACTTATTATAGTAGGGTCTCTTGTTGAACCTGAACTTGCTAATTCCAGCTAGTCTAATTAGGCATCTTGTCCCTGAGGTCTTCTGTGTTTGCTTGGCAAGAACTGAGATTGTAGGCAGCTTTTTTTCTGGTTTGTCAGGATCCCAGCTTCAGTCCTTAGGCTCCTGGCACCTGTGACTCTTTCTGTTGATGCCCTTAGGGTTTGTGCTGCAGCCCTCATACTGATTACCTCTTGCTGCTTCATGTTTCTAACCCTTAACTAACATACTAATTATCAGTTTCTTCAGATCATGGATTCCAAAGCACCTTGTGGGTGAGTCCTGATCAGGGTCTCTCATGAACTTCCAATGAAGATGCTTGCCAACACTTTGACTATCTGAAAGTTAAATAGTGGCAGAGACGTTGCTTTCAAGATTACTTACACAGCTATTGGCCAGAGGCCTCAGTTACTGATCTTATAATGTGTGTGAATGCCACCATAAGATGGCGGCTAGTTCCCCTGGAGTCTATAATTTATGCTGCTTTTATGTTTGGTCTCTTGACTTTTCACTCCACTGTGGGCCTTCTTTTTCTTCTTTGAATGTATAATATGCTTTGTTAGTATGCCCACCATGGATGTTTTTTGTTGTAGTCAGTGGTTGTTACTTGAGGAGAGTCCAACTGTTTGGGCTTCCTTTAATTTTTGTTAAACATGAACAGAGATTAATTTGGCTGTACCAGTCAAGCAATACTTTTCTGGGTACTGTATTTAATGGCTCTTATCTTACAAGGATTTCTACTTTGGCTGGTTGGATTATTCCAGGATTGAGTGAGCTGGAAGATTCCTTTGTAGATTAGGCTGGCGAGTTAGTTCTGTGGTAGAACCTGTGCTACTGTGTGTGTGTGTGTGTGTGAATCCACGGTTCAGCCCTCAGCTTCCTCCTTCCAAAGCAAGATTGGTTTTCATAGTCTGTGTTTATGTCTCCTAGCTTTCAGTACTTCCCTTAAAACCTCATTTAAATTTTTTCCCTTTAAAATCACATTGTTTCTTTTGTGTGTATGCATGTGCATTTGTGAATGTACATGTATGTGTATGTGTGCATGTGTACATTTACATGCATGCATGTAGTGCATATGTATGGATGTGCATGTGTGTGTCCATGTTTGTGTGTGTGTGAATGCATGTGTGTATATGTCCCTGTATACAGATACATGCATGCTGCAGTGTGTAATCTGGAGGTCAAAGGATAAGAGGGAAGTGGTTCGCTGCTTCATCATGAGTCACAGGAATGGAGCTCACTCAGGTTTGATGGCATATTTTCCTTTACCCACTGAGTCATTTGTTTGGCCTCTTCTTGTTATTTTTAAATTCTGGTATTTTTTCAGACTGGATTATTATGACTCATTTTTCTCATGAAAACTTGTCCATTTTAGTGTGGTGACTTGCAGAGTTAGGCTATGATTGTGAATATTCTTCCCAGTGTCTCCTATTGCGCGTGTGTGGACCTTTCACTGGTGCATTCAACTTTATCCTTATTTTTTTTCACATTGGGCATTTTTCTTCCTTTTACTCTACTGTTAAGAAATTTTGTTTTATTCTGGTATTCCTCAGCATGTTTAAACTTGTTCTTTCATCTCAATGTAATTTTGATTTGTTTAATTTCTTTTCTGAATGTAGTCAATGAGTTCATTGCTTCTTTCAGTTTCTGGTTTTTGTTTTTAGACATCTTAGACTTGAGATGTCCATTTTCTGACCCTCTAGTCCTTGTTCATATTGGTGTGTTCCTGGATTCTACCCTTACCTGAGATACTTTGCTTCTCATGTCTGTCTATGTGCCGCAACACTTTGGGATGGAGGTTCACAGATCCTTGAGTTTGTGAGTGTTTTGCTGTTTGCAATAGTTTGTGAAATTTCTGATTCAAGAACACCCTCTTCTGTTGGTGATGGAAAGTGCAGTTTATTTTAATGAATTAATTTTTGGGGGAGGGGGAGTGGTTATATGTAGTGGACTCTTATTTCTGTCATAAGAGTTTTCCACTGTTATTTTTTCTTTCTAATGTGCAGTTTTTTCCTGCTCTGAAAAATGTTTCGGACATCTCACCTCTTTCTTTTTTTCCTTTTTTAAAAAGCAGTGTCTCAACATGTGGCCCAGGCAAGCCTCAAATTCATGATGCTCCCTGTCACCTTTCTGAGTGCTAAGACAATGTATGGCTATCCATTGTCACCTCTCCTTGAGTATTTGGTCCATATTAGGTCTCTTATTTATTGTCATTGCTCTGTTCTCCCAGAATCTTCTTTATTTTTTCAATTAATGGAAATCCCCTCAATGTTTCTTCTATGATTTTTTTGGATGATACTCCTAACTTTCGTTGTTGTTGGAACAGCAGAAGGAGGTCTACTTGAAAGTGATTTTCCTCCCTTCTACAAGTAATTATAAACTTATTGTGTTCTATGACTTCTGGTTGTAACCATAAGGTTTTTTTTTGTCATTTTATTTGTTTATTCTATTAATCACTCTGTTGGGATGTGTCAGAACATTCAGGTTTAGGTAACTCTGTATGTTGTCTAGAAGCTTGAAAATTCTGCTTCTTGAGAAATATTAATACTATTTAGTTGCTTTAACTACAGAAAGTCTATTTTTGTATATTTTCTTGAAAAAGTCAAGTATTGACCCACTTATGATACTTGACCTTTTACAGTGTCTGGATTTCTCAAATCTGGGAGTTTGAATTTTATGTACATTGCTTTCATATACATTGTGTGTTTCATACAGTTCTTAGACCTGTGTGTGTGCCTATGAAGTTAGGCTAAAGTTACTACATAATACCTTTTAGTGCTTTAATGAAATAGTGAATTATTGTTACCCGACCTTTTGAAAAGGTCAGTAGTACATTTTGTTTCATTTTTTTAAAGGACATTTAAATGTAATGAAAGTCAGAACTGTAATATTACCATGAAAGTAAAGGTTATGGGGTACATTTAATTGTGTTCCTCTGTTTTTGAATCTGCTTTGAAGGGAGTCTGCTAAAATTCCACATGGTAATTGTTTTTCGAGAATTTTATTACTCTTTTCATTTGACATTGTTGGAGTAAAAGATTACCTTTCTGTTTGTCTTGTCCTGCTTACTTGTTCAGATTTCACGTGTATCTTCCTATTTAAGTACACAGTTTAAACTGCTTACCTCTTCACTTTTAAAAGAAAGTAAAATCAAATGTATTTTTCAGAGAACACGCTTTCCTTTCTTTTGAGAAAAAAATTTGTATAACTAGTGAATTTTTAGATTTAAAAAATTATTATAGAACTTATTTTAGTTATTGAATGTTCACTATATAAATTGTTCCTCTGTGTGTGTGTGTGTGTGTGTGTGTGTGTGTGTGTGTGTGTGTGTGTGTGTGTGTGCGTGCGTGCCCTGGTATACATATCTTCTTTGGTGTGTTTATGTGTGTGGTATACACATGAATGCATGCTCATGAACATGTGTAGATTGCAGATGATGTTCACTGTCCTGCTCTGTCATTCTCTGAAGTTTTGAGACATTGTTTCTTACTGAACTTGATTCTAGGCTGGAGGCCAGCAAGCCCCAGAGATCCTCCTGCTTCCATGTACACAGAACTGGGGTTACAGGCTTTTTATGTGGGTGATGGGATTTGAACTTAGATCTTAATACTTATGCAACAAGCTGCTTACCTGCTGAGACATCTGTCCAGCCCCTAAAATTATCTGTTATGTCTAAACACTGAGGTTATATAACACTATATTTTTATTTTGCTAAAACTTAGAAATTGCAAACTTGAAATATGAATATACTATACATTCCTATTTCATATTGTCATTTTTCTTCATCATCCATATCAACTTGAAGTAATATTCTTTTGGGGTATTGAATTTATACTTTAAGGAATAACTTTTTGTGTGTTAACAATTTCATGGTATTTCTTTTCCTCATTTCTTTTTCTTTAAAAATCCAGGCCCTATCTTAATGTTGTTTGATTTCCCATATGTTGCTTATACTTTTCAGTATAAAAATTTTAGCTGAACTTTGCACCATTTATAAATGACTTTAACTTTTCAGCAGTAAGTGAAATAAGTAAATTTACACTTTTATTTTTCACAGGGAAGTGACTACCACCTCAAAATAGTGCTGCCTAAAGATCTGCAGCTGAAGAACGCAAGGTAATGTTGTGGTTGCTTTTATAGCTGTGTTAGTGGAGCAGGTGGTCTGATATCAGATGGTTTTGCCTGAAGTGCTTATCAGCATAGTGCCAGTGTCACCAAAGACTCCTGGTTCTTCCAAACCAGGTTGTCATTTGTGAATCACTGCCGTTACTTTCCAAAGCTAACACATCAATTCTCTATTTGTTTTTATTGAAAGCTGTAAACAACAATTGTGTATACTTCCTTAACAAGTTCTGAGTAGGAGTGTCTTTATTTTTTTGTTTTTTCAAGACATTGTTTCTCTGTGTAGCTCTGGCTGTCCTGGAACTCACTCTGTACTTGAACTCACAAAGATCCACCTACCTCTGCCTCCTGAGTGCTGAGATTAAAGGCATGAGCCACCACTACCGGCCACTGAGTAGGAATTTAAGGGGGGCACAAAAAAAAGGACTAAAAGACTTCCTCAGCTTTCCAGTGATAAGTTTTTGCACATGCATAGTCATCTTCGTCCAGGTATATAGTGTGAACAAAATTGACTGTGGCAGAAACCGCTATTCAGAAGGTAGGGTACAAACCCAGGTTCTACTTTTCAGTGTCTGTATGTAAAGAAAAACAAACCAGAGCTGTTTAAGAGTAGAAACATAAGGATTTTATGTAGAGGTTGTGTTGGTTTTTGTAGTGAGTGACTGAGGAAAAAGGAAACTGGAAATTATTAATTGCTGTGTAGAAAAGATAGGTAGATAACGGAAGTAAGAGTCATGGAATTCTGAAGATGCTATGTACTTAAGCAGCCGAATTCATTGAGAAGAAACTACAAGGGTAAGCTATGGAATACCACGGTAAAGTTATAATTACTAAGAGACCACGTTGGTGGTAAGAGATGGGAAGCATATTGGTAATAATGCTGCTAATGGAGGGACAGTTGCAAAGACTACTTTGCTATTAAGGTGATTGCATGGGCATGGAGTTTAACACAGAGTGGAGGGAATAGTTGTGGCTAGAAAGAATTTAGTTTAGAAAACCCAGACTTTATTTATTTATCTTTTTTTGTTTATATACATACATACATATATATATGCATATATATTATTACTTAAATTAGAAAGAAGCTTGCTTCACATGTCAATCCCAGACTTTATTTATTTATTTTTATTTACTTATTTTTAGTTTTTCAAGACAGAATTTCTCTGTTTAGTCTTGGCTATCCTGGAACTCCCTCTGTAGATCAGGGTGACCTCCATTGTTGTTTTAATTTTGGCATAGTGGCTACACCTTAATTTAATGCTATTTCAGCTAGCAATTGCTACTCTGCAGTTATCAGCTGTAGCCTGCTGGGAATTCTGTTTTCTCAGTCACCACCCCTGTCTTTTGCACTAAAGGTAGCTTTAACTAAATTTGTATTGTTGTAAGTAAGACTCAAGATTCAAAGACTGGGGGAATACCTGTGAACTCAGAGAGGCTGTGTAGCAACTAGGTAACCTTCTGTCCATGCTGAAGTCTCCAGAATACCTGTACTTCTTTCTGCTAGTTCCTGCGTCTCTATATCTCTTTTAGATGCCTTCTGATGCTCTATGATTGCTTCCTGTCAACTAGTTGCTAACTCAGGATTCTGACCCAAGGTTAATTTTTTTGATTAACATAAATGCAAACTCAGGGTTCATAGTGTGATCAAATATCTCCTAATGTTTTCCCCTTTTGTATAAATAAAAAGGTGTAAAACTATATACAATAATAACAATTATCAAGTAAAGGATTATATTCACAATGTCCAGCCCATTTTTCTTTGGCAAATTCAGAGAAACTATTCTATTATCTATCCTATCTTGGTGAGTTCAATGTTTTGTACCTAATTTACTTTCTACTCTAAATTTTATTAGCAACCAAAAACTATCATTTTAGACCTTAAAACATTTTTCAGATAAGCAATTTAAGCTTTTATGTCTCCCAACCCATACACCCTATACTTCTTTTGTGAGTGTTTTTTTTTTCTTTCTGAATTTGCTAACAAGGAAAACTATAATTATTTTATCTTCAACCACACCAGAGACTCAAGAAAGATAAAATATTACCCGAGTAAACAGGAAGAGTAGAAGAAATAACTTCCAAAGCTATAGAAATGACAGAAGTAGCTTGCTGCTTGGACAGTCATCCAAGGTTCCTGTGAGAAACCCAAGAAAGATAAAATATTACCCAAGTAAACAAGGAGAATAGAAGAAATAACTTCCAAAGCTATAGAAATGACAGAAGTAGTTTGCTGCCTGGACAGCCATCCAAGGTTCCTCTGCAACATTGGGGCATCCTTCTTTTGCTTGCAGCTTAAAATATCTTGCAGACTTTTCTGTAGAGCAGAAAGTTAGAAGGACTGTGCTACCTTGTCTTGTCAAAGTTCGGGAGTTACTTTTTTGTGTGTGTCCTGCTTGTACAATTTAGATGACACACTGTCAGCAAGGACTGTTTTTTGCTCATTGGCTAACTTTACCACATTAAAAACAAACTCCATATGGATGATCTTTGATGCCTGTCACCTTTGTTTGAAGTAAATTGGTGATTTGAGGAACAGATGTTTCACTGTTATGAAAAGTCTTAGATTATTAAACATCTTAATGACATATTCTCTAGGTCTCTGAAGTGTCGAAGACCACCTATCTATCTAAAATATATCTCTGTCTAATCTTGAAAACATACCTAACATAACTTTGATTATTATAGATGACTAACCACTAAACTGTATTTTTTAATTATACATTTTTAAATGAGTTGCTTAGGTACAATAGCTTGAAGAAGAGTAGAAACTTATATAGAGTATAACAAAAGTAATCTTAAATTTGTATCAATATACAAAAATTCCTTAAACAAGAGTAGGAACATATATAAAGTGTACTCTAACAAAAATAACAAATTTGTATCAATATAAAAAAATCCATACCAATGTAAAATATTTGAGACTAATAGTTGCTTTTTAGTTTAAAGTAGGTACTTTTATTATATCTTTTCTATATCTCCCTTTTTTTCTTTCAGAAAGAGATCTTTGAATTCAACATCTCTGCTTAGTTTCTTCCCTTACCATGACTAGTAACAGTTTCCCAAATGATGACATACATTCATAACCCACAAAATGATCAAACACTACCCACTTCACCTCTTGGGCACGTGGGAGTCACAGTCTTAAAATTAGTTCTTATTGTCTGGGGGTGACTTCATCTTTAGGGAACCCTATGAAAGTGACATAATGGTCAAGTTCTGGGAAAACTAGCTGTAACATTGGTTGTTCAGTCTGTCTGTAAATGGGAAAGTGCAGGACTTATCTGAAGTCCTGGCTGGGATAGTCTGTGAGGCTCTACTATCTCAGCTAACTACCTTGAAATTGTTCTGAGCAGTTGATAGTTCAAAGCTGATCTTTGGGTAGTGTTTGTCAGCTTATTGGTGTTACCACAATCCAGGTAGAATCATCATTGTGGGACCCCATCATCCTTTTGGACGACTTCACAGGTCACTGGTAGGCATGGTCATGGTTCACTGCAGAAAACTTAAACATTTTAAAAGTCATATGTAGCCGATCTCGGAAAGGTGAAAGCACAACCACAATCTATTAAGCATATCTGGGGTATACAAACTTAATTCCTAGTTACCTGCTTCAGACTCAAGCCCAAATCACATACAGGATGCTAGGTGAAGTCTGTTTCTAGAATTAGTTAGTACTCTATATGACCATTAATATCACAATAGAAAATTCATATATTTTTGTATATATTAATCTTCTAAATTTTGTGATAATATTTATAACTTAAGACAAATTGTTAAAGAGTAAAAGTAAAACCAAAAGATTATGAGATTAGTGGCAATAGAATAATCCCTTAATTTGGATTTTTATTCTGTCTGATACCAGGTGTCTTCTGACACGAGACAGAGATTTTAGATTTTCTTTTAGCAGGAATGCTCGGGTTTAGAGAAGGAATAAGCCATGCTCCAACTCCAAAGGCAATTTTGATTTTTAAATGAATTCGAACCACAAAAAGACAGTTTGTCTTTTGTGTTTGTAGAGAACAGTAGAAACAAACATGGGAAATTTGTGAAATTTTATCCTGTTAGAAGTGTGTTATATTGTTGGGCCAGTTTTATTTTTGTTGACGGGGGGGGGGCGTTTTCTCTGGTTGATTCAGCCTTCTTAAGATGTCTCATTTACCAAGTGGTCTTTATTTTCCTGGAAATACAAAACAAAACTCTTTCCAACCCTAACATTGGGAAGTTCCTTTGTGTCAGGTATTGTCTGTGTTAAAGCATAATGTTTTTTGGCAACAGAAAAATTGTTATCTTGTAATTGTAAAACATTAATTCTTTTTTTCTTTTTTAGCAAGATCAAACACAAGTCATCTATTAGACTTGTAAGTTAGTTTGGATTCAATGACACAGATGTTTGATGAACTGTTGCCTTTCCTAATCAAGGGGTCTCTCATGTCTGAATCTGATCTTTATCAATCTTTATGGTATCTATAGCTTTTCTTCTCTGAGGAAATAGAAGCAAGACCTCTTCCCCAATGTAATATAAATCCTGGTTTCCATTCTGAAGTCAACACATCTTTAAAATTTGTAGGCTAATTTAATCCAGCAGTTTTTCTGTTATCCAATGTCTCTCTACAGCTGTTCCTTTTTTATTAACATTTTAAAAATTTAAAGTCAATAAAATAATGTATAATCTATGTCTGTATTGGTTTCCCTTTCTATTTAGTAAGCCTAGCTATTAAAGTGCAATTAGATCTTTCTATAACTGCTTGTCCTATAGGATTGTGTGGCATAACTGTAATATGCTTCATGTTTTAACATGCAAAAAACTTTTATTTTACTAGAAAGATGTGCTGGAGCATTGTCAATCTTAATTTGTACAGTTATCCCCACAATGTCCACAACTTTTAATAAATGTGAATTACATGTGTATTATCTGTCCTGGAAACTAAGCTACTTAAAAGTCACCATCTACTGAGGTTATCTAGGACAGAATATGCATCAAATAATGCACATAG